TTTCCTCAAATTATATTGTGAAATGCCTATTCCCATTTTAAAGGTGAGAAAGTGAAGGGCTAGCGAAGTAACTCAGGGCATAGCACTGACATGTGTTGGAGTGAGTGGGGACTAAGAACTATAGCCCTCGTGTTCTGACTTCCTGGAAGAGTTGACAAAGCTCCAAACATCTAGAAATATTCAAAACCATTGTATACAATGACGTAGAAGCCCCTGGAAGAAATAGAGTTTCCAAATGACTGCCACAATTGAAGTGAATTAGTAGGCATCTTCCAACTTCTACTGGGGAAAGAGAGGGATTTTGTGAGATATAATTTATGTAGTTCAATATAGGTTTTCTTTTTTCCTATTTTTTTTAAATTGAATGGCAACCTCATGGCTTTTCTAGATGACTTGGCGCTGCAGAAATTGAAAGATTTGCTTAGGCAAATTCCTTATCCATAGCACTTCTTTCCACCCAGTCTCTGGAAACACATGTAGAATAGGATGCCATTTTCATTTTATAACTGGAGAAACTGAGTTCAAACATTCTTGGCCCAGGACTGTATGGCATGTTCCTTCCAAACCAAGATCTGAATCTGGGCTCTCCTGTTTTCAGAATGGTGTCATAATCCCTGCATGCTGCATTCTGGCTTTTATAGAGGGGATGTCTGACTCACTTGCTCATTCTACAACTCTGCAGAGTTTCACAACCACTTATTCTCCACTGGTGTTCCCTCTCCCTGAAGAACAGGAATGAGCCCAGCTCTCAGATAGCATCTGGAGCAGCCCTGAGGACCAGAGCACATGGGGAGGAAAGTGGCACATTGGTGGAGTACATTTCACCCCCAGGCTTCCAGCATGCTATCCACATGCAAACCTCACACGGCATATTTTTATCACTACATTATTTGAACAGACTGGTAATAATGTGTAATCCACCACTGCTAACTCATTTTGACTTATTATACACTTGGATGAAAAAAAAAAAAAGAACCGTTTTGCCATAAGGGGGAGCTTTTGAGTTCTATAAAGAGGGGGAACAAGAAGAACAAAAATACATTACATCTATGTGCCAGTTCAAAACAGTCCTACAAAGCAGCACATTGGTCAGATCCTTACCTGGGACGTGAACAATGTTAGAGAACCTGAATTTCTCAGGTTGATTTTTTAAAAAATAGGCAAATTAATATTTCATTCTCATTTTTCAATATTAAACTAAAATAATGTCTAACAACCAACAGAATATTTTTTGAGAGTATTCGGGAAAAGTGAGAGACCTGGCTGTGCTGAGTCCACAGCTTCTGAAAGGCAAATGCCTTGGAAAATGCCTTTCCTCGGGGTTTCTTGTTCTGAATCCAGGAGGGCAGCTTTTGGACCTGCTGAAGCCAGCAACACAGGGGCTCAGGGAAGAAGGGGGACTTTCATCATTGCATAACTTCAAGGGAATTCTGAGAAGGAGAAAGGGAGGGAAGGCTAGGAAAGGCAAGAGAGAAGGGAAAGGGGGAGAGGAAGAGGGAGAGAAAGGGGGTGAAGAGAGAGAGAGAGAGAGAGAGAGAGAGAGAGAGAGGAGAGAGAAAGGGAGAAACAGCATTTTAAAAAAAATCTGAGAATCAAGTTTCAAGACTCTTTATGTGCTATAGCGAAGGATGAGGTTTACCAGCGAAGTGCAAAGGAGATCCTGAGAGAAGAGAGAGGTGTTTTGTTTGTTTTTTCCTCTCCCTCCAGGAGGGGGAAAAATAATGATGAGGAGGGGGGATGAAGGAGGGGACAAACGCAAGCAAACCAAAACAAAAACAGGAATGTGTGTTTTGAGCAGGAATGGGGAGAGTTGGGAGGACCATAAGGGGGTGTGTACAGAATTTCATTAAATTGTTACTTTAAGATTGTCTTCTTAAAAAAAAAAAAGAGGGGGGGTGGGTGGAGAAGCGGGAGCGAAGGAAAGAGGCAAACGGCAAAGTAGAGGCAGGCTGCGTAGCTTGGCCTCTCCAAACTGATTGATTAGTCATGATCCCCGCAGTTTTAACAGGGACTCATTCAATTGGGAAGGTGGAGCGCTCGGGAGCAGATTAGCATACGCTTGTTTACTCATCTTCTGAGAGATTTCCCCCCCTTTCCTTTCATTTTGTGAAGAAGGAGGGAGGGGAGGGGGGGACCGGTGGGGGGAGAAGGGGGCTGTGGCTTGTGTTATAAAGGACGCAAAAAATAAATAAATTAGAGCATCTTTTGGGGGGAGGGAATTCAGCGGAGCAGTGTCTTAGAGGAGCTTTTTTTTTTTTTTTGGTAGAGCGAGAAATCATATAAAATAAAATGAAATAAAACAAGGAGGAAGGCAACCAGCTGTTACGAGGGGGGATAGGGCAGATAAAGGAGCGGGGAGAGAAATTAATTGCCAACCAGGAGGAGTTGGGCTGTATTTTTCAAAGGTGGGGGTAGTGGAGCACACACCTTGAGGTGGAAAGCGAGAAAGAAAAGAAAAAAGCAAGTGAAAGGGGGGGCTCGCCCAAGAAGGGTGAAGAAGCGAAGAAAGTCGAGGCGCCGAGTCTCCCAAAGCTGGCAGCTCCCGGCGGCGGGGCAGGGGCGAAGG